TGCGGCCGCCTGAGGTAACGGGGGCGGAGGAGCCAGCCGCGGGGGGCAGCGCGGCTCCCTGCACCCGCTGAGCCCTCTCCTCTTTATTTTTCTGGCCCTAGAGTGGAGTTGAGGCTGCCAGAGCAGCGCAGGATGCTCCAACTCCGTGTACGTGGCTGTACAAGACACATCAGCGCGTGCCCCCTGCGCCAGTGCGGCCCTGACATCGCTCCTAGACAGGGTAAGCTTCCATAAGAGCTTTTAAATTCTCCTTAAAGGGCACAATTACACACCCACATGGTGTAATTCTCACTTATTATTGAAGATGACACTGATTGCATCGTTTAAATGTCTTTATTATGAGGTATGGAAAGACTTCACATACTACCCCTTCAACATCGGTCACCTTACATACCACTGTGTGCATTAATGAGGAAAATCACGGGAAATACATCAGAACTCCCACTGGGAAGTAGAGGAGAAAACAAAGGGCAAAAAGTATCAGTTTTACAGTCTCCATTACTAAGAATGATCAACAGTAATTATGTAAGAACAAGTAACCTTAATAATAATCCTCACCCAGATAAGGGGAAAAAAGCAGATATCATCAGTCTTCGATCCCAGGCAGGTTAAGCAGTCTGTTAACAATAAAGATGCAAACCCTCCTGACAGCAGATCAGAACATAATCTTGCCCCAAAATGGTGGTAGCAACAGTGAATTTGACTATGTAGGAAAGGCCTTAATACTGGAGTTTGCTTTTCAAGCTTGCAGTTCTGTAATGCATGTACCTTACTCTCACTTGATACTCAGTTTTAAAAAATGGCAATACATGCCATGCTGATGCTCTATAATAGCTTAATTGACTAGTTAATTTCAATAAGTTAACCCTGCAACTGATAGTACTACAACAAATCTAGGAACAAAGAGCGTGAATCACACACTGCAGGACAGGGCTCACATTCACAGATGACCATGATAGAAGGACGTAGAAATGGACAGGAAAAACAGCATCAGTTTTTGCTGCACTGGGAAGTTTAAACACAAAGCTGAAGGGACATACAAATATTAGCAGGAAAAGGAATTACTTTTTAAGAAATTCAGGTTAGCCAACCCTAGCAGATGTCTCAACCTGCTATACACACATTAAATAAGTACTGGAAGCAGTTATTCACTCCGATCCTCTGGCTCTCGGTATTTCCACTGGATATAGTCAAAGATGTCTCTTTCGCTCTCCACGGGCAGGGCCTCCCCAGCAACTCCTGCAAGCCAAACACATTGCAAGGTTCAGACAAACTGCTGAAAAACAACTGGCTGTGCCCAGAAACCACGGATCTTTGCATAGTCACAAAGGTGCTTAGGTATCAACTCCCACTGGTGCCAAAGGAAATAAGGCATCCAATTATCTTTGGGGTTATATGCTTAAAACGAGAAAGAGAGAGAATATAGATGGTCAGCCCGCTCACTCCCCCCAAAAATACAACTGAAAGGCACTGAAAATCTTGTTGAAAGTGTGAAACCAAGTGTGTGCTATGCATGACACTGAAAGACCCAATCTTTAGGTCAACAAGAAAGCGTTCTCCAATTTCAGAAAGAACCTAGTGAAAAGATTAGGTAAACTACAGCCTCCAAAGCACTTCCAATACATGAGAAAACAAATTAAAAAGAGCATCA